TACGCCGCCAGCTGCCGCGTCAAGCGGGTGACGCAGAAGGAGGAGCTGGAGAAGCAGAAGGCGGAGCTGCAGCAGGAGGTGGAGAAGCTCGCCTCGGAGAACGCGAGCATGAAGCTGGAGCTCGACGCGCTGCGCTCCAAGTATGAGGCCCTGCAGAACTTCGCCAGGACCGTGGCCCGCAGCCCCGTGGCGCCGGCCCGGGGCCCCCTCGCTGCCGGCTTGGGGCCCCTCGTCCCTGGCAAGGTGGCCGCCACCAGCGTCATCACGATAGTAAAGTCCAAGACGGACGCCCGGTCGTAGGGACGCGCGCTTGCCCGGGCGGGTCTGCAAGGGGCCATTAGGCGCATGGCGAGTTTGGCAGCCCTATCCCCTTCTTTCTCCTCTCCTCTTCTTCCTCTCCTGCCTCCTCCCTTCCCTGCAAAGCACAACCTGCACCCCAGGGGCGCCGGGCTGAGCCCCTTTGATCTCGTCGTTGTCATCGTGTGTTTTGTACGTTGGGATTGGTCAGTTCGGCGGTGACGTGCGGTTGCCCCAGTCCCCTTTGTACCAAGGCCATGCAGGCTTGGCGTCCAGAGTTGGCCCTGTGGGAACAGAGAAAGATCGAATGAGCGCATGGGGCTCGTGTTTTGGAGCAGGGAGGGCTCCAGGGCAGGAGGGGCTGCTGTCCACTCCGGGTGGCCCCCAGGCCCTGACGGCTGCTGGCTGGCAGGGGCTGTGATTCAGTGCAGCCAACAGGCATAGATGGGCTCTGCTCCAACGAGTAGGGTGTCCTCGAGGGCCCTGGGTGGGTGGGCCACCAGCCTGGGCGCTACAGGCACTGGGAGGGATGGGGGCGTTCCGTGGCTTTGGGCCAGGGGCCACGGCGCTCGAGCCTGACGCATTGCACTGAACAAGACTAAATCACTGGTTGTGAGCATACGTGAAGGGTGTGTCCAGTGTCCTGCGATGGGTCCCGTGTCACTGTTTACATGACCTATTTGTGTGGTTACATAGCCCTTTATTTAAAAGAGAGGAGTTCCTTTTACGAAGTTATTAAATTATATGTTTAAAAGCTAAAGAAAAAAGAGCTGCAGAGTATTTATAAAACTGTCTTTTTAAAAAAAAAAAAAACAAGAACATTTGACCGTATATATGGACGAGGAAGGAAAGTATAATAGAAACTTTGCTAGTTTAACAAAAGAAAAAAAGCAAACAAAAAAAAAATCCCTTTCTTGTAAACTTATGGACAAGTCTTTGTGGCTGTTGGAGTTTAGTTTTTATATACACAGAGTTATCAGACGTTATTTATAAAACTTAGTTTAAAAAAAGACAAAAAAAAAAAAAAAAGCCAAGCCGTGAGCGACCACAAGGCGCGTCCTGGCGTCCTCTTTGCTATCTCTTTTGCAATTGTACCGAAAGTGACTTACTCCTTCGCCCTTCCTGCTTCCGTCTCTTGCCGGTGCCGTGGTGTCGTCCGTGCCTGGTGAGGTCTTGTGCAGCGTCACGTGCTGGTGCTTCTGGTGACCTTTGACCTGTGGGTGTCACTTCTTGTGTCTGTTAATCCCGTGTTTGTTTTTTGGATTTGGTTGTGTTTTTGCTTCTGCTGGCTTGCTGGGCCTGGACTGGGGTGCTGGGCAGCGCCTGCTCCAGCAGCGCTTGGGGGTCTGCCCGCCAGCCCAGCCCCTTCTGCCTCGGTGCCTGACCCAGGACCCCAGAGGATCAGATCCGGGGCTCTGCCGCTCTCACCTCTGCACAGCCTTGGCTTCGCATGTCTGTGTAAGGCTTGGGCTGATTCAGGGGCAGGGCAGGTGAAACGAGGGGCCATCCCAGAGCACCCCCCCCCCCACTGCTTCCACACCCACGGCCTCTGGCCATGGCTGGCAGATTTGCAGGGACCACAGAGTCACTGGGTGCCCCCAGGTGTCTTCCTTTTGGCCTCTAGTCAACACGTGTGGGCTCTGGTCGCTGACCCCAGCTTTGTTCCTATAGGCTTCACGTGGGCCTCATCAGGGGAACCCCAAGGCCCACGTGGGAGTTTCCAGGTCTGCTGCCCACTTACCCTAGCAGTGCTTCCATGCCGTGAAGGAATGCTTCCCAGGCAAAGCCAGGTGGTTTTGGGGCTCGTCTGGGGTGGCCCCTTCTCCCTTCCTGAGGGCCGGGGTGGGGGGTCTCCACCAGTGCCAAACAAGGGCTGTGGTCTCCAGGCCCAGGTCCTGTCCCTCACCTCGCCCTGAACTTGCGCCAGCTCTTGGCTTTGGGCCTCCTTTCGCCTCCCTTTGGGATCTGTGTCTTCCAGGGATGCGCTGCTCAGCTCGTGGAGGTGCTTCTCTCCGGGGCTGAGCCCACCTTCCCAGGGCCCCTTGGCAGAGGCAGCTAGTCTTCCAGACTTGGCTCCAGAAGCTCCTCCTAGGCATGAGACAGGAGCTGCCTGCAGTGCCGGCCCTCAAGAGGCTACTGCCCTGTCTCTGGCCACATGGGCCTCAGCCTCCAGACCTTCTCCTGGAGGTCGCTGGTTGGCTTCTCTGGGGGCCTTGAACCCTGTAAAGCACAGACGTGTGGGCTGGTGAAAAGAAACTCAGTGTGGCCTGGCAGGGTGTAACTTCTTGGGCAGCGGGGTTTTCATCCCCAGGGTGCCCATGGGACAGGAGCGGGGACATGCTCCTGTCATGTGGATGGGCTTCTCTTGGCCCTAGATGCCCTGTCGTTCCTGGTTGTGCCGGGTCAGCCTGCAGTGGAGATTTTGACCGTTGACTCTCAATACTTAGTGGCTTCCTGCCCCTCCCTGCCGTGTGGCTTTGTCTACCTAGGGTATAGACGAAAGTTGTTGATGTTGGTCATAGCAGCACTGAGTTGGAATCGCATCGTAAGACTCCCTGAAGAGGGGGAGAAGCCCGTGCCCTCCATATCCATTTACGCTCCCCACTTTGGTGCTGGCTGGGAGGTAGTCGGCCATCTGCCACCTGGAGACCTGGAGAGCAGAGGAAGGAGGCAGGTTTGGAACGTGAGAGGCGAGTTGGAGGGTGGGCCCAGGTAGAAGAGAAATTGCAGGTCTGGTTTAGGTAATAGAAGAAGCTTCTGGACTTAGTGAGGCCATGCTTCCTTTCAAGGTTTTTGGATTTGGAGCAGCTGTTCCTTGGGTCTGGGGGAACATCCCGTTCCCATCAAGCCGACCCCATGGGGCCACTCTGCCCCTTTCCCCCTTCACCTTGGTTTCTTGACAGTAGAGCCTGTGTCCACACGTGACTGGTTTGGTGTCTTTCTGATTCTTGTTAATTCAGTTTTCCTACTGTGAGGGTGTTGTGTTCTTTTTCTCCTCGACTTTTCTGACACAGCAAATCGAGGGCTTTGGCTGAAGCCAAGTCTCCCAAACTTGCCCGCTAAGTAAACCGTGATGTGCACCTTCCCATCTAGCCCTTGCCCCCACTCCTCCTTTATCCCAACACGGACACTCAGATTCAGAGGAGAACCCTGTGGGAACAGGTCAGCTTCTGCCCTGAGTATGTCCCCAGGGAGACCTCCCCGAGGCCCTGGCTGCTGCCATGCTGGGTAGCACTGCTGTTTGTACCGGTGAGAAGACACGGCTGCTCAGCTGTGTGGGTGCTGGTTTCTGCCGGATGCCGGGTCTCCCCGGGAGGCTCTTGGGCTCTTGGTCCATGCTTCTGGTCTGTGTGCGCAACTCTGACCGTCAGCAGCAGCCCCTGTGGTCGGCGCCTGAGCCCACGGCTCTGATCGGCCGCAGCCTGCTTTGGGACAGGTGGTCAAGCCCCCTCCTGCCCCTGTTGCCTCCCTCTCTGAGGTGGCCAGTTGGCTAAAGTTCCCGTCCACAGCTGGGAAGCCCAAGCCACAGCCTGCAGCACCATTTCCGCTCTGGGATCTTGTAAGTTACTTTTTTAGGCTGTGGTTTGGTGAAAGGAACCAACACAGTAACGATTTTTTTCCCCCCAGAAGCCACTGAATAATTCTTTTTGGCGCGTTATTGCCTTCCTGTTGGCTGTCTAGTTTTGGAGCAGGTGGGGAGAAGTGGAAGACACAGAGGCAGGGGTATGGCCTGTCCCGCTTCAGGCCTGTGTGTTTTGAGTGTGTGCTGTACCTTTGGGCCAGTCGCGCACGTTTCCACCCCACGCTGGAGCAGCGCCTTGGTGCGTGGGTGTCTGGCGAGCCCGAGCTGGAGTGTAGGAGAGTGTGCCCCGGATGAACTGCGAGGGGACAGCCCCTCCAGCAACCTTGTGTCCCAGCCCCTCCCTTCTCCCCATCCCCTCAATTTGCTACTCCCTGAAGCCTTTAACCAAACGGGAGTGGGTACAGAAAGCCTTCTCCTGGCATCTTAGGGCAACAGGACAAGGGCTGTCCCGTGTGTCCAGCTCTGGTGCTCTCCTGGCGCTGAGAGGCTGGGTCCAAGCAGAGTTGATCAGACCCTGCCTGTCCTGCCTAGGGCTGAAACCAGGGGGGAGGTGGGGGTTCCCTGGGACCTGCCAGGGCTGGCAGGGGTTGATGAAGATCCAGGTGAGGAGGGGCCTCCCTGGGGCGGGCCTCGGCCTCAGTGCCCACCCTGCCCTGTGCAGTATTTATTGCTAAATTATTGTCCAGGGGGGCGGCACTGGGCCGGACCCCGGGTATTTATTGCTGTACATAGTGTATGTTTGTGATATATAAGGTTTTCTTTATTTTGTATATGATCAATAAACACCTTTTAAAGAGACTGTCAGGTGCTTCCTTTGCGCGCCGCGCGGGCGGGGCCGGAAGGGCGGGGCGGGCCTCGCGCGCATGCGCTGGTGCGCGGCCTGCCGGGAGGCGGAAGCGGAAGCGCGGCTCTCCCGGG